GTCCGCAGCGAACATATGCAATGATTTTAAAGTTTATCCAAACTTTATTTTGCTTTTATAATATATTTAGTTGACTTCTTTTTGGTTGTTTGTGTGTGTTTTAATATGGCGCATATGTATATATAATATGGCGTCTATGTATTAAAACATCCCCCGTGGGTCCGCCACTGACTAACACGTAGTTTAACCCCCAAAACCCCCTCGCTGGATCCGCCCCTGACATACATAGGTACTTCTACTATCCCGCAGGCGAAAAAATTTCAGTTAGGGCGATCAGGGTTCCAACTATACTTAGCTATGAAGTGCTATATTGAGAATAGAAAAGTGCCAAAATGTACCAAATATAAAAATAAAAGTGCCAACAAAGGTGTAATTAGTTTTAGTTCTTCTCATTTAGCAATAAAATTAAAAACACATTCCTAAAACAAAAGTCCAGTGCAAAGTAAGATAGATGTATACACTATAGAAATTAGAATATTTTAGTTGATAAAAAGAAGTACACGCAAAAGGATTTCACAAAACTGTATTGAAATTTACTATTTTTCAAGTGTGCCAATTTGGCAGTGCAAAATTGAAAAAGTAAGTGCCATTTGAAGTAAAATACGGCCAAAAATGGCACGGTTTGAGTCAAGTTGGCAGCCCTGTGAACGATGTGTTTCTTCTGAATCAGTGATGGGCACACCTAAATACTTTTGTACTTAAAGTACCACTTTGGGTACTAAATACACAAATACTTAGTATTTTGAGATGACTAAATACCCAAGTACTATTTACATAGGTATTTAGGAGCTGCTAAATACCCAAGTACTATTTACTTAGGTATTTAGGTGGTGCTAAATACTCAAGTAAAAAGTATTTAGGTACTTAGGAGCTATTAGATATTAAAGTAAGAAAAACTTGAGTATTTAGGAGCTGCTAGATACCAAAGTATAAAAAATGAAAGTATTTAGCAGGCGCTAAATACTCTGGTCCAAAGTACTTACGTACCTTGGGGATGCAAAATACTTTCACTAAAGTACCAAGGTATTTTAGTCGATGGCTAAATACTTTCAAACTAAATACTGTATAGTTTAGGAGAAATTTAGAGAATTAACACCTCAACTTACTTTACCACAACTCACTTCACCTCTCCTCAAATCAACTCACCACATACAAACTCACCACACCTCACCTAAACTCACCACACCTCCTAATGGTACACCAAAATCCGCCAAATCTTAACCCACCACAGTTGAACTCATCACACTCGTTCTCACCACACCTCACCTAAACTCACCACACCTCAATTTGGGATTTCTGGATTTGAGAGATACTTCAGACTAAATCAGGCTTTAGAAGACCATTTCGGGGTTTTCGGGAATATTTTGGGATTTTCGAAGCTATTTCGTAATTCTTTAGGGATTCCCGGAAACTGTTTAAGATTTTCGGGATTTTCGAAACGACTTTCAAAATATTTAGGGATTTTTGGGACTTTCGAGATTCTCGGAGTTAATAGCGGGACTTTCGGCAGTATTTCGGTATTCTCAGAATTGTTGGGACTTCTGGACTATTTTTGGATTTTTAGGATTAATTTCTAGTTTTTGGGACTTTCGGGACTGTTTCCGGATATTTGGGACTTTCGGGATTCTCCGACCTAATATCGGGATTTTCGGGACTAATTTCGAAATTTTTTTGAATTATATCGGACTTTTAGGACTATTTCCAGATTTTTGGAACTTATTTTGGATTTATGGAGCTTTCGGGATTCTCGGGAATAATTTCGGGACTGTTGGGACTTTCGGGACTATTTAGGGATTTTTGGGGCTCGTGTGATTGTCAGGAGTAATTTAGGTATTTTTGGGGCTTTCGAGACTATTTTCAGATTTCTGGGACTTATTTAGGATTTTTGGAACTTTCGGGTCTATTTCGAGATTTCGGGACAGTTTCCAGATTTTTAGGAATTTTGGACTACTTCGGGATTCTCAGGAATAATTTCGGATTTTCGGGGGTATTTCGGGATTTTTGGGACCTTGTTTTGGATTTTTGGGACTTTCGGGATCATTTCGGGATTTTCCGGACTAATTTAGGAACTATGGGACTTTCGGAACTATTTCAGGATTTGTGGGTCTTTCTGGACTATTTCATAATTCTGGGAATATATTTCGGTATTTTTGGGACTTTTGTGGCTTTCGGAAGTATATCGGTTTTTTTTTGGGTCTTTTTGGATTTTTGAGACTTTCGGAACCATTTCAGGGTTTTCAGGAGTATTTCGGGACTTTTGGAACTAATTTCGGATTTTTGGGACTTTCGGGACTATTTCTCTATTCTTGGGATTAATTAGGAATTTTGGGATTTTGAGAGTTAATTCGGGATATTTGGGACCTATTTTCGGATTTTTGGGACTTTCGGGCCTATTTTGGGATTCTCGGAACTGATTTCGGGACTTGTGGGATTTTCAGGAGTATTTCGGGATTTTTGGGACTAATTTAGGATTTTTGGGACTTTCGGGACTATTTCTCCATTCTTGGGATTAATTTAGGAATTTGGGGATTTTGAGAACTAATTTGGGATTTTTGGGACCTATTTTTGGAATTTTGGGACTTTCGGGACTATGTCGGGATTCTCGGAACTAATATCCGGACTGTTGGGACTTTCGGGGTTATTTAGGGATTTTTGTGACTCTCGGGACTATTTCGGGATTAAAGGGAGTAATTTGGGTATTTTTGGGACTTTCGAGACTATTTCCAGATTTTTGGGACTTATTTAAGATTTTTGGAACTTTCGGGTGTATTTCGAGATTGTCGAGAGTAATTTCGGGGTTTTTGGGATTTTTGGCTGTATTTCGGAGTTTTTGGGACTTTCGGGCCTATTTCGGAATTCTCGGAACTGATTTTAGGACTTTTGGGATTTTCAGGAGTATTTCGGGATTTTTGGGACTAATTTCGGATTTTTGGGACTTTCGGGACTATTTCTCCATTCTTGGGATTAATTTAGGAATTTTGGGATTTTGAAAACTAATGTAGGATTTTTGGGACCTATTTTTGGAATTTTGGGACTTTCGGGACTATTTCGGGATTCTCGGAACTAATATCGGGACTGTTGGGACTTTCGGGGATATTTAGGGATTTTTGGGACTCTCGGGACTATTTCGGGATTAAAGGGAGTAATTTGGGTATTTTTGGGACCTTCGAGACTATTTCCAGATTTTTGGGACTTATTTAAGATTTTTGGAACTTTCGGGTGTATTTCGAGATTGTCGGGAGTAATTTCGGGGTTTTTGGGATTTTTGGCTGTATTTCGGAATTTTTGGGACTTTCGGGCCTATTTCGGGATTCTCGGAACTGATTTTAGTACTTTTGGGAGTTTCAGGAGTATTTCGGGATTTTTGGGACTATTTTCGGATTTTTGGGACTTTAGGGACTATTTCTCCATTCTTGGGATTAATTAAGGAATTTTGGGATTTTGAGAACTAATGTAGGATTTTTGGGACCTATTTTTGAATTTTTGGGACTTTCGGGACTATTTCGGGATTCTCGGAACTAATATCGGGACTGTTGGGACTTTCGGGGTAGTTTAGGGATTTTTGGGTCTCTCGGGACTAATTCGGGATTAAAGGGAGTAATTTGGGTATTTTTGGGACTTTCGAGACTATTTCCAGATTTTTGGGACTTATTTAAGATTTTTGGAACTTTCGGGTGTATGTCGAGATTGTCGGGAGTAATTTCGGTGTTTTTGGGATTTTTGGCTGTATTTCGGAATTTTTTCATTTCTTCGTTTTGGTATATTGGAGTTCGCTGATATTTGCGTACTAGTTCCTCTAAATTCTCGCATCACATACGGACAAACATATCTTTCGCGCATTGCAATTACCATTTGTTCGCTAGCCATTATTTGCGCACCCCCGCTTCCTAACTCTCATGCAACCTAGCAAACGCTCCTTGGTTCCACAATCATTATGAAGTCATTCAAAATACATATCGATATAGGTCCCGGATATTCCGAAATACTCCCGAAGGTCCTAAAAATCCCGAAATTATTCCAGAGAATCCCGAAAACCCCATATCCGAAATAGGTCCCAAAAATCTGGAAATAGTCCCGAAAATCCAAAATTAGTCCCCGAAATAGTCCCAAATATCCGAAATAAGTCCCAGATATCCCGAAATACTCCCGCAGGTCCTAAATATCCCGAAATTATTCCAGAGAATCCCGAAAACCCCATAATTCCGAAATATGTCCCAAAAATCTGGAAATAGTCCCGAAAATCCAAAATTAGTCCCAAAAAAATCGATATATTCCCGAAACCCCCAAAAATCCCGAAAATAGTTCCGAGCATCCCGAAATAGTCCCGAAAGTCCCAAAAATCTGGAAATAGACCCGGAATTCCCAAAAATACCGAAATTACTCCCGACAATCCCTAAATAGTATCGAAAGTCCCAAAAATTCAAAATGAGTTCCAAAAATCCAAAAACAGTCCCGGAGTCCCAAAAGTCCCGAAAGTCACAAATATCCCGAAATTAGTCCCCAAAATACGGATTTTAGTTCCGAGAACCTCGAAAGTCCCAAAAAACTCGAAGCAGACCCGAAAGTCCGAAATAAGTCCCAAAAATCCGTAAATAGTCCCGACGTAGTCTAGAAAATCCCGATATTAGTTCCGAGAATCCCAAAATCTCAAACAAAGTTTCCGGGAATCCCTAAAGAATTACAAAATAGCTTCGAAAATCCCAAAATATTCCCGAAAACCCCGAAATAGTCTCGAAAATTCTGATTTAGTCTGAAGAATCTCTAAAATCCTGAAATAGATCCCAAATTAAAATTTTCATTGGAAATGGTTTCTGGTAGAAATGATCCAACAACCAAAGGAGGGACTATCATTAAAATTAATATTGTAGATATGAATGTTTTCTCAGCCACAAATAATTATTAAATTTAGCAGTTAGTTAAAAAAATTTAAGCTCGGTAAAATATATAAAATAAATATATTGTGTATATTAGAAAATATATGTATATCGCACATTTCTTTCTTTATGGAATTTCCTATATTAAGTTTCATATCTTCCGCGCACGCACACGCACTGAGTTTTTTTTTTGTATGAACACAGTCGTGTAACTTTTCCGGTTTTAGACCATGGATCATCGTATGCCACCACAGGCTTTTAAATATAAAAACCGTAATTTGCATATGAAAATTTTATAATTTGTCAAGCGTCGTTAGTTGCATAAAGTTATTAAAATTTGACTGACTAAATACCGCAAAACTGTTAATATTTAGCAAGACAAATATTTAAAGTTTAAAAAATGATTAGACTAATGCTGTTATCTTAATTTATTTGTGCAGTTCAACAGTTTGCAGAGTAAATTATGGAGGAAAACGTTTTAGTTTATTACATTTGAAACGTGAGATATCTGAAGACTTAGAAGCTGTCATGTTAGATAAACTTGTTATGTGACTCATGCACATATAAAAGAGTATCTCGTGCAAACAAGCGTCCGCTGCAGTACTCGCATAAGTGCTACTGAAAAAAAGAATGAATGAAAAAAAAAATCGCGTCAAATTTTGCAGAGAAAGTATTCAAACAAAGGCAGCAGCATGGGCAAATCCGAGAAATAGTCAACCAAAAACGGAAAAATGCATGGAAATCAAATTCTCACATCGTTGTATCAAGAATGGCATAGTACAAAATGTATGTTGATTTCATATTTCTTTTCACACTTATTTCAGAAATATGATTGCATCTCTTACTTCTTGAAGCAAACCTCTGATTAAGGTTAGTTTTAAGCCTGTATCCTTAAATAAAATGCCATAATATCGCTTGGAAAATGTCAGCTTCACGTAATGACAAAAAGAGTAGCCTCCGAAACGAAACGTCCGCAGCGAACATATGCAATGATTTTAAAGTTTATCCAAACTTTA